AAGCCAGTACGAAGGGACACCTAACCCTGCCTACGGAATATATATATATATATGCATGTATACATATATATATATGTATATCTATACATGAATATATATATATATATATATATACGTACATATGCGTATAAAATGTGCGCATATATATTCACGCAGTATGCTGCCACACGCCGATACCTTTGTTGGTTGGTTTATTTTTCTACAAACACTTATCGCTTCGTTAATGTTTTGTTGTTTTTGGTGTTTGCCTCGCAGGAGGATGTGGGCCAGCCCGGGTGTACCGATGCGGAACGAAAGCGGCTCCAAGACATTTTAGAGGCGGGGTCGGTTTGCATCAGTTTTGTTTTTTAGAATATAGGAAACCAATAGTCTTTGTCAGTGCTGCATGCTGCATTCAACGGGGCTGTAGACTCTTGAGCTGCTGTTATTTGCTACTGCTGATCTGTTTTGCTGTTGCTATTTATTTATTTGCTGCTTCTCCTTTTCATTTATTTGCCGCGCCAGTTTTTTTGTTGGCTGCTTCCGTTCTTGCGTTTGCTGCTGAATTTCATTTATTTGCCGGTGCAGTTCATTTATTTGCTGCTGCTTTTCGTCTATGTGCTGCTGCATGCAGGAAGTTGGTAGACGTGTACAGACATCGGAACCCTCGAGTCACCCCAGCGCCTGTGCAAGAACCGGCATACACCTGGCGCGGTATGATAAATACTGATCAACAAAATAAAATATAGAAAACTAAACAAAGTAGTAAATCAACGAAATAACAGAGGACGAGTGATCAACGAAATAATAAAGGATAGACTAATTGGAAAAACACTAAAGGGAAGGCTAGTAAGCAACACAATAAGAGATAGGCGGATGAACAAACGATTGACAGATGGTATAATGAACCAAAGGATAAAAGACACAACAATAGTCAAAGTTAAAAACGATAGGCTAGTGAACAAATGAATAGAATATTGGCTACTGAACACAAGGAAAGACGGCGTGCAACACGCTCTGCTACGGCTGAGTTTGGTGTTGTTGCTCATTGCTTATAGAGCAATGAGGCCACTTGCTAACTATGCCACAGGAAGTACAGCTTGCAGGAGGATGAGAGGGAGGGCAGAGGAGAAATTAGGTGTTCTCTTCTATCAGCCTCTAATAATGCATTGTCTTACTACTATTACTATTATTAATAGTAGTAATCAACACAGGTTTCTGCCTTATTATGAACAGGATATAGCGAAGACAGAAGTCCCTCGAGTGCGCGTGCCATGCGACTAGATCATGCGGTGAGGCGAAAATATGATTGCATGCATGTACTCTATACATATTTTTATCAGTTTACACTAAATAAAGTATAGATATAATAATCTGCATACGATGCACGTGTTGTATCTACAAATCAGGTGTTGGTTATATCCCGTTGTTTGCATATTTTTCTTGTCTGTATACTGTAGAGAGACGAACGCCCTGCTGCATTAAACACTTAGTTGGTTGGTTTTGCTTAGCGACTTGCCTTTTGCTTTTTGTTTAGTTTGCTAGCGAGGATCTTCTTTCGTCTGTCACTTCCGTTGATATTGTCGGAGAGGCGTTTCCCAGGGTGGGTCACAGTTGTGGTGAACCGCTCTTTCAGGTCTACACATTTCACTTGCGGGGGAGTTATTTACGGTGTACATACATCGCTGCTTATATCTATTTACGTATGTTTACTTAGTATTGTTTTGCGTGCAAGGAAAAGTAGGAGGTAAACAGATATCGTGCGCTGTGCTTTATCCTCTGCAGAGGCGGTTCTTTGGTTCGGATCATTGCCCCGTTTTGTTGCGGCTCTCTGAGACGGCACTACGCTCGCTTTGTTCTACTAAGTAAGAACTAATAATAATAACAACATCAACAATAATCATAATAATAGCCTATATTATTGAAAGGATGCTCTACTTTATGTAACTGTAAATACACCTATACACCTATATGTATCCTACTGGAATGTCTGTGGATACACATATGGATTTTATGTTTTTATTAAAAACATACATTTTTCATTGTGCACGTACGGCAAAGGAAGTTAAAAGTTTAGCTAAGGGAGAAGGCTCGCGATGTTTGCCTGCGGTGGGAATGCTGCAGAACAGCCACATGAAGAAATATTCTGGGAAGAGAGTGCAAAAAAATTGAAAGGGAGTAGAACACAAATATATCTGCACTTGGCAAAGAAAGCTGTACAAACAAGTCCATGGCCTATGCGGCTATTGGATAGTATTGGTGATCAACCCGAAATCCTAAACACGATCAAATTCAGTTTAAAATGAACTGAATGCCCCGGAAGGTCTTTCTGCTTTGCAGCAGCTCCCAGGGTTATTATTCCTCCTATAATTTCATACCGGAACTGTTTCTATTTTTCATAAACTCGAGATATGAAGCTGTTTTGTTTTCCGGTTGCAATGGAAGAAAGGAAGAGAATGCACTAAATATGAGTAGTAGTAGTTTAGTCCTAGTAGACCTCCGAGTTGGGGTGTACACGCAGGTGGATTGGCACCTCTACATTTTCGTTTCATCCCCGAGTATCTACGCAGCTCAGAAAGCTCTCAAGTTAATGTGTAGGAAAACCAATAGATATGCTTTGAACACAGACATTTTTGTGGTATATGAAGCCAAATGATTCGATAAACCATTCGAATTCCAGTTGCCGTTTCAGGTGTACTGCAATACACTCCGGCCACGAGTCGGCGTTGTGCTACGCGTGGGAAAATCGATTCAGGTTTTCTCCTCCTGGTGCCGCGCCCATCCAAGCATTATACCAACAGATATGGCGAAAGTTTCATTTGTTTTTGTTTTACTCTGCAATTTTGGACTTCATGGGACTGAGGGCTTCCTAGGGGAGTTTGCTCGAACAGTAGCTACAAATGCGTTAGCAGGCGGCCTTGCTGCTGCAACGGGTGCGCAGCCGCTGCAGCAAATGCCTTCTGCTCCAGCAGCAGCAGCAGCGCCTGCAGCAACTCAACAGCCAGCAGCAGGTAACCGAAAGCAGCTGACTTACGGATAAATGATAAAGCTGCACTTCATACAAAACCCACACAGGCAACGAAAACAACCCCCTTGCAAACTCTGCTGGTAATGAAGCACTATTTCTCATTGCAAACTGAACTGCTGAAATGTTACCCCGTCCACCCTTTTACAGCAACTAAATTGGAAAGCGTCTCAAAAGGTATATTGATGCTGTTAGGCTCCCCTCCCACCTCAACAGCACATGCGAAAACAACGAAATGATGCACTTTCATTACAACACCCACCGACAGACTTGCGGACTGCCCTGCAGGCAAACCCCTTCTTTAAGCTCGCGGGACTCGGGATGGAAATTCGAGAGCTCGCAGCTGCAAACCCAGGTGACAGGCCATTTCAGTGTTGAATGAATAAGCGAGACGACCGGACAGCGTAAATACATCTTAAAAATGAAATAAAACGAAAAATAATGAGAGCAAGTGCATGCATAATACCTCCCGACAAACACACCAATGGAAAATACAAACGAATTCAGAGGCACTAAAAGGGGCAGCAGTTTACATGGTGTACGCGCCCAAGCCAGAAGAAGAGGAGTAAGGGAGGAGTTGCGTATTGCCTACTATATTTAAATGATTAATGCATGCATCGGCAACGAATGCGTTACCGTGTCTACTTCCTAGAGACCCCAAGAAGAAAGCAGCTGCCCAAGGCGTGCTGGACATTGCAATGGGCATCGATAGCCCCGCAGGTCGGCATGACAAGCAATTTATCTTGTCTTTATTTTCTTATTTGTCTGTTTATTCAATTGAATGCAACGGCCATCAGCAAGCCTTCAAAGGAAAAGCGAAAAGGTTCGTTCAGAGCTCATGCCGTTTTTAGGAAGCAAACCGCGGGATACTATGTTTATATACACATGTATATGTACATACATATACATGCATATATACATGTATAATTATAAACTTCCCCTTATTGTTGCAACATTAAATCAGAAACTGAATCACGACAGCGTTCGAAAATAACATTAAATTCATTATTCTTTGCGGCAGCAAGCGGAGAATGAACTGAGCTCCATGATGAGCCCAGCCAACCAGGAAGATCTCGAAAAGACGATGTCTCCTCAGGTACGCCAGGGGAGGCGACAGAAATAGATATTTACTTATTAAAAACTAAAATTATAAGTAAACTAATAATGGATCTTTGCATGCAATCTAGATATGATAGTTTATTGCCCACAATATATATATATATATATATATTTATTTATTATAAAAATGTATGTAGATTATTTGCTTCGACTCTTTTCTGTAGAGTGC